CCATGGTGGATGTTGCTTTTCCCCATCTGAGATCCTGGGTAAGATCTGCCAACTGCTGGTCTCTGTGTCTGCCTTTGAGCCTGAGGTACCTGACTTGGGCTCAGATCGATTCAGTTAAAGTAACCCCTGCAGCTCCCACATACCTGGTTTCATCTCCTGACAGTCATGGATGAGCACCTGCAGGTTGTCAATAGGCAAGAGGGTAGCAGGATTGATGGTGGTGTGTTTCTCAAACCAGACTCCAGGGTGGTCCAGGAGTAGGATCTAGTAATTAGGACACACTAATTGGACAGAGTGTTTTGGTGTCCTTGGAGGAGGGTGTGGGGTGCTGTGGGAAAACATCTTGACCCAGAGTTACCTTGTTTGTTTTTTCAGGGCTACTAGCAGTAGCTGCCACAGCTCTTAGACAGGTAGGCCACCTTGTGGCTAAAGGGTCCAATTGTTTAGACAAGTACATCATAAGGTGTTCCCAAGGCCCCAGAGTTCGGGCTAAAACCCCTTTTGTTTCATGAACAAACAGATGAAAAGGTTTAGAGACATCTGGAAGTGCTAGGGCTGGAGCTGAAGTCAGAGCTGTTTTTAAAGTCTCAAATGTCTTTTGTTTGGTCTCAGTCCAGATTAGGGGCTCAGTACTACCCTCACCCCGTTGTGCTGCTGTATAGAGGCTTGGCTGTTTCCACAAACTGTGGTATCCAGAAGCAGCTATATTCGGTTGCACCTAGGAACCCTTGTACCTGTCTCTTAGTCTTTTGGGATCTGAAGGATGGCAACAATCCTACTCTGTGCAGACAGGCTCCTTTTGCCTCCCTGTCAGGAGCCATCTAGGATAGGCCAAGGCTAGCAAGTCACCTTCCTGGAGGTGGCCCACTACTTTTGGTCTGTGATGGGTGAGCTCTGTGGTAAGGTACCAAAGAGACTTCATTTCAGGATTGCTTCTTGCAGCTGATATGCCTTTCCTGTGCTTATTAAATTAAATTAATATAACAATCCCTGGGCATCAGCCCACCCTATTGTTCAGATTTCCTGCAGATCAGCATAAAGATGAACTTTCATGAGTTAGTGCACTTTAGATGAGTTAATGGGTCTACAGAATTCCTGATTTTATTCAAATAGTTTTAGGAAGAAAGTTTTAAGAAACGATCTTAGTCGATTTGCTAGAAAGATGTAACAAAGTTAGAATCAAGAACAGAAGGTGCCCACTGCTCATAATAGTAAGTAAAGGCTGCATAAATAAGAAATACAGTGAGCTTTCATACTTACAGTGAAAGGAGATATAGACTTGGGACAATTTTTTGTTCAAGGAAAAGCATGAAGGTCCAAGGATGAAGCCACAGGCGTGCACTATGATAAGGCAAGGCCATGTAAAAACTGTTGCTTTGAACTTATAACATGCTTACAGAAGGAAACACTGCTTTGAACTTAATATCAGCATCCTTCTGTAACTCCCATTTTATCTAATATTCTATCTCGGAGGTGATTTTCTAAAGAACTTTTTATCTAAGAACGTATTTAAAAGCCAGAAAAAGGAAAGTTATTGGTTGGATGATTTGGCTTGGGGGGGTCTCTGCCCCATCCATTTATCATCCATCCATCCATCCATCCATCCATCCAATGTATATGTCTGTTTGTCTGTACATATGTATGAAGGTGTATGTGTGTATGTATGTAAGCATGCTTGAATACTTGTGGAGTGTATGAGACAGGTGATTGGGCCCAACAAAAATGTGAATGTGTTAATGTGTAAGTGAGAATGAGAATCTGAATGTATGTATGAACATATATGTGTATGTGCATATCTGCCTGTATAAAACATCTTAATTCTTTTCCTTTCCTTCCTCTCTGGTTCACAAAGAGTTAACCAGCCTAGCCAGGGAGGATTATGTCAACCTGGACAGAGAAGGGAGTGATACCAATAAATCTTTTACCTAATCACCCTGCTTTTAGCAACAAGTGTCAATAGATCCAGAGGCCTGCAGCTTCTGGCCTCAGAGTAACTTAAAGTCAAGATAGGTATATGTTATTATAAAAAGTAACCCTACTCTTTGGCAAGACTAAGTTTTGCAGCCCCCCCTCCTGCTCTGCTGCTTCAGGGAGGACCCAGCCCTGGGCTGCTGCCTCCACATCCCCTCAGCTGGTAGCCAAAATAGCTGGCACAAAATAGCCTCTACAGAGCTGCATTCTGTATCCTTAGGTCTATAACTCTTGCAACAGCCCCTCAGTAGGCCTTTTAGAATGTACGTTCTCAGAAAACCTCTGCCAGAAGGGCAGGAGGTTGATTGCTGTATCATTCTTCTGTCTATCCCTTGAAAAGCAAAGATGGATTGACTCACCTCTGCCAATGGGAGATAAAGAATAATGCATCTTTCAGGTCCAAGATAGTGTACACCTGTTTCTCTGGAGGAATCAGACTCACTAGAATCAGAGGTCCAGGTTTCTTCTCAGACAGGAGAGGCATATTCCAGGATGACAGGCAGGGCACTAGGATGCTTGTTTCTCCAAGCCAGACTATGAAGCACTACAATTTCTCCTTTTGTTTTCGTAGTCACTGTGTATTGTTTAATCTGGATGGGTGTTAATCTGGATGAACTGGTTAGTTGAATAATTGTAGGAGTTTGGTGTTAGGCCAGTCCTAGGAGGTTTATTTCTACCCACATCTCGGGAAATCTTTGTTGTCAATCTGAAAGATAGTCCAGCTGTATCTTTTGATTGGAGGCAGAACTTTTGGCTAGGAGATATTCTTCTGACTGAGGGTAAGGCACCAGAATTGTGCTGGGTATCTGTAAGTCTAACTGTGTCTCATCATTAGAGAAGATGATGATGGCTTGCCAGGAGCCTCTCAGCCTGGTGAGGGTACAGAGTAGGACTCTGGTGTGGCTTTAAAGTCTGAGGGTCTCCAGATGTTCTAGCCCTCTAACTGTACTGAAATGCTGATGATATCTTCTAAAAAGTTCTAAAATCTTTCTTGCTCTTTCTGAGGGTAAAAGACTGCAGGCTTAGGTGATTGACACCTGTAGCCTAACAGCAGGGGATTAAGTAATGTGGCCTTTGTTCAGCACGAACTGGAGGGCTCTAACTTATGCCTGCTAGTGGGAAGTCCCAGGAAGAAAAAGGGACACTTTGAAAAGTGATTATTGCGTTTATTACTAAGTTGTAGAAAGTTGCCTATGAACGCTATCTAAGGGGAAAAGCAGAAAGATCCTAAGCAGGGAAAGGGAAAAATTTCTTCATCTCATCTCTTTGTCCTCAGTACTTACACATCTTTCAGAATACATAATCACACATTAAAAAGTTCATCAAAAGTTCACACACAAAATCAAATCATAAATTGAAATAGAAGTTTACAACAGAGAATGTTTACATACGTATCCATTAGGAGTAATTATCTGACTAAACATCCATCACCTGTCTAGCTCCACAGGTTCACTGAAGGTTGAAAACCATAACTAAGTTATTAGTGAAGTTTTGTATAGATAAACCCAGTTGATATTATATCTTCTGTCCCCACACCTATTATAAATCATTAGTTCCTTTTTTATGACCTTTGGTTAATTGTTTTACAACCTCATTGGAATGTGCTCTGAGTAGGAGAAAGTCTGGTTACTATCTAAGAGCAATTAACTGATGACACTTGGGAGACTGGCAGAGTTCTCATTGCAGTTTTGACTATCAGAAAGGATCTAATAGCAGTTCCACTATAAAAGAGCTTAATAATCACTGATATAATTTTAGGAATTCTTGTAGGATTACCATTAAGACTTAAGAATTCATCTATTTGTCTATACAGCATCACTACAAGACAACACATCTTCGTAGATCTGCAAAGATCTGCTCCAAAGGGATGGGATAATACCTAGTGATTGTTATATATATTTAATAATAACAGGAAAGTATATTAATAGCAAGAATCTTTCCTAAAATGAATTATCTTACAGCTTTGTCTAATAAGAGTAAATTGGTAGCAGGTTATATTACAATCCAAAGCAGAACATCTCAGGAAGATCACCTGTTAGTTACTAGCTTGTCCTATGATGGCTCCTGACAGTGGCTTTCAGTTTATGCAAAAGGCCTTTTTCTAATCAGTTCTTTTTTCCTTTGAGTTATCTCCAGCAACTGGGACCTAATTATACCTTGAAAAACATTTTGGGCAGTGGTGGCGCACGCCTTTAATCCCAGCACTTGGGAGGCAGAGGCAGGTGGATTTCTGAGTTCGAGGCCAGCCTGGTCTACAGAGTGAGTTCCAGGACAGCCAGGGCTACACAGAGAAACCCTGTCTCGAAAAAAAAAAAAAAAAGAAAAAGTACTTGAGTTTTGCTGGGCAGTGGTGGTGCACGCCTTTAAAAAAAACAAAAAAAAAAAAGAAAAAAGAAAAACATTTAACTTTTATAACTTTTTTAACATTTGGGACCAACTGGGTGACAAAAGGACATCTTTTTAGCAGCTGTCTTTAATCCTTCTAAAATTGTTTAATGTCTCCTTGGTTTGTATTGGACAGAATGGAAAATCCATTCTGCCCAGTCTGCATTGTCTGGCAGAGATGCCCCTGCCTAGCCAGGGGCCAGTTTCTCTACTCAATGGTGTGTCTTGAATTTTTCAATTCCCTGGTTCACTGGCTGAAATGGAGAAGGTAAGAAGGTAAGTCATCAAAAAGGGAGGAGCAGGACTTTTTTTCTTTTGGGCTCAGCGCATTCCCTTCCCTGGGGCTGCTTAGAAGGGAATGCCTGCCTTGGGGAACTTTCTCCCTACCTGTGTGCTTAGATGGCAGGGTATCCTCAGGATGGGAGGCCTGACACTTCCTCACTGTCACACAGGGACCAGGACCATGAACAGGAGTTGAGTGATATAACAGTGGGGCAGTCTGCAGGAAGGACAGGAAGAATAGTGGTGTGGTGGTAGTGGTGGTGGTGGTGGTGGTGGTAGTGGTGGTGGCAGCAGCGGCCGAGACAGCAGTGGCGGGTGGTGGGGGGTTGGGGGGCGGCAGCAGCAGCGGTGGCGACATTTTTTGTGTATTCTTTGTTTTTATTTTGTTTGTTTTCCCTGGGTGATATGGCAGAGCCAAAGAATTGACGTCCCTAATAAGAGGGTATACAGATCTCTTTAGTTGGGGGATGGTGTCTCACATCACAGAAACTCACTGGTCGATAAAGGGAAACAAAACACACATACAACACACACAAGTGAAAACAAACAGGGGTGACCACCACACATACACCTGAACAGACTTCTCATATGGATCCCAGACACTGGATCAGCAGCTGTATTCGACCTCTCCTATGTGTCCAAACAGAAGACGCTTTAACCAGACTCTGGAGGTGACAGACCAGGTAAGTTTATAATTTGTTTCCTTTTGTGGTGGGGGTGTCATACCTCTCTGATGCATTAGGCAAAGATTGATCAAAGGGAGTCCTGGGGACCTAGAACATCTCGGATTGTGCACCCCTAGGAATCTGACCACCACATTCTTCCTCTCTCTGAGGGAATCGCAGACCTTTCATGTCTAAAGGTTTGGTCTCCAGGGATTCCAGTGGGACCTCTGGAAAAGTGGGGTATCACCAGAGAAGACTACTCAGACATGGGTTTAAGCCAATAGAAACTATTAGCTGGCTGGTGAATATACTCTGTGTGTGTGTGTGTGTGTGTGTGTGTGTGTGTGTGTGTGTGTGTAGGAGGGGGGGATAAAGAACACAAAAAACTCTCAGGGTGAGCTTTTAAACACAAAAACCATGTTCTGGGTTGACATACTTCAGTTAACAAAAACAATTAGCCAGAAGCAGAACTACAGAAGCCAAAAGCATGCCTGATACATTTAGAGACTTTTCCTGAACTATGGACTTTCCTAGATTAGGTCTTTGTTTTCATTTTAACTGTCTACATGTTGAGTTTTACAGCCAGAATGGTACTTTCATTAAGGAGTCAGTTGTGCTAAGGGCTGGGCCATATTGCAATCCTTAGTATATGTCAGAATCCTGAAGAATTAGGCTCTAATACCAGTGAAGAAATGGACTTGCCGCTGAGAATGAAGGCAAGCAGGTAAAGAGCAAAAACATCTGTATTAGTCAGGATTCTCTAGAGTCACAGAACTTATAGGATGTCTCTCTATATAAAGGGAATTTATTGTGGTGACTTACAGTCTGCACTCCAACCAACCCAACAATGGGCAGCTGTGGATGGGAAGGCCAAGAATCTTGTAGTTGCTCAGTCCCATGAGGCTAATATGTTTCACCTGGTCTTCTGTCTAAGCTGGAATCCTGAAGAGGTAGGTTCCAACAGATGTGCTGGGAAGTGCAGGTGAAGAAGAGTGAGTCCTTCTTCCAATGTCCTTGCGTAGGCCTCCAGCAGAATTAAAGTGTGTACCACCACCCCAGGATTTAGAACTTGCTTTTTTTTCCAGGCTGGCCTTGAACTCAGAGATCTGCTTGCCTCAGTCTCCTGGGATTAAAGGCATGTACTTTCTACCTTGCCTGGGCCTAAAATTTTCATGGCCACTATGCTTCAAGATCAAAAGCATGTGTCATCCCAGGTCAAGATCCAGGTCAGAAGCCCATTCCTTCCAGCCTCAAGATCTGGATCACAGGTGTGCCCTTCATTTCTGGATTGTAGTTCATTCCAGATATAGTCAAGTTGACAACCAGGAGTAGCCACCACAGCTTCTGTCTTCCATGTCCTAATACAGGCTGCCACCAGAAGGTGTGGCCCAGATTTAAGGTGGTGGGTCTTCCCACCTCAAATGAGCCAATCAAGAAAAGTTCCTTACAGGTGTGCCCAGAAGCTTATGTTTTGGTTTATTCCAGATGTAGTAAACTGACAACCAAGAATATCCCTCACAAGTCTACCCCTTGTCAACTAGACACACAATCATATCTCCTTATGTCATGCTTATTTTACAAATATCCACTCCACCCAGGCACTTAAGTTTGTTGGGCTAGGCACATCCTCCCACTGAGGCATGACAAGGCATCCCAGCTAGAAGACCATATCCTATGGACAGACAACAGCTTTTGGGATAGTTCCCTTTCTAGTTGTTCAGGACCCATATGAAGACCAAGCTGCTCATTTGCTACATATGTGAGAGGAGGCCTAGGTCCAGCCTGCGTATATTCTTTGGTTGGTGGTTCAGACTGAGAACCTGAAGGGTCCAGGTTAGTTGACTCTGTCAGTCTTCCTGTGGAGTTCCTTTCCCCTTAGGGGCCTGCAATCCTTCCTCCTATTCTTCCCTAAGAGTCCCCAAGCTCCATCCACTGTTTGGCTGTGGGTGTCTGCATCTGTCTGAGTCAGCTGCTGGGTGGAGCCTCTCAGAGGACAGCCATGCAAGCATTAATAGTGTTAGGGATTGGTGCTTGCCCATGGCATGGGTCTCAAGTTGTGCCAGTTATTGGTTGGCCATTCCCTGAGTCACTGTTCCATCCCCTGAGTCTCTGTTCCATACCCTGTGCCTGCATTTCTTGTAGACAAGATAAATTTGGGGTTGAAAGTTTTGTGGGAGGGTTGGTGTCCCTGTTGTGCCACTGGGGTTCATGTCTGGCTACAAGTGGTGGCTTCTTCAGGTTCCATATCGTCGTCAATGTTGTGAGTCCCAGCTAAGATCACCTCCATTCATTCTTGGGCACCTCCGTTATCTCAGGTCTCTGTCTGGATCTGGAAATAGCCCCCCACCTCTTCATCCCCTTCAGTTGCAGATTTCCATTTATTTTCATGACCATCTAGCCATCTCTCCTGTCCTTCCCCCGCACCTTATCCTGAAGCCTCCCATTCCCCTCCCCCTCCCAGTTCCCTCCCTTCATCTGCCTCTCACGACTATTTTTATCTTATGAATATATTATCCATTCTTCAGTTGAGAGACATGTAGGTTGTTTCCAGTTTCTGGCTATTACAAATAAAGCTGCTATGAACAGAGTTGAGTCTTTGTGGGATGTTAGAGGATCTTTTGGGTATATGCCCAGGAGTGTATAGCTGGGATTTGAGGTAGAAGTATTCCCATGTTTCTGAGAAACCACCCATCTGATTTCCACAGTGACTGTACAAGTTTACCCTCTCATCAGCAATGGAGGAGTGCTCACCTTGCTCCACATCCTCGCCAGCACATGCTATCACTTGAGTTTTTGATCTTAACTATTCTGACTGGTATAAGATGGAACCTCAGGGTTGTTTTGATTTGCATTTCTCTGATGACTAAGGACTTTGAGCATTTCTCTAAGTGCTTCTTGGCCTTTCAAGATTCCTCTGTTGAGAATTCTCTTAGCTCTGCATCCCATTTTAAATTGGTGTTATTTGCATTATTGGTGTCTTAACTTCTTGAGTTCTTTGTGAATTTTGGATATTAGCCCTCTGTCAGATGTTGGGTTGGTAAACATCGTTTCCTAATCTATATGCTGCCATTTTGTCTTA